GGCGGCACTCCTGCTCATGGGGAGGCGGGGCCACGGGCATCAGTGGGAGGGGCCAGAGGCTGAAGTGGGCGGGGCTACCTGCTTCTCCTCTTCCTTGCTCCCCATCTCTCTTTCTCATTCACCCCCCCCCCGCTTTTCTTCCTTCCCCACTGGCTCTTGGGGGCCAGACAAGTCACTCCTGCGAGAGAGCTGCACGGATCCCTTACGGAGAACTCAGAACCAAGCCAAGCAGTCCTGTCCTGGCTGATATCGATTCAGACTCGCCCTGTCACCTTTTCCTTCCTGCTGACTGCTCTCCAAAAAATACACGCAGTGTTTTGGAGTAAGTGTGTGGTGAGGAAAAGATCATTTCCTGGCTTTCCCATTAACATCTAATTAGTGCTTCAATGAAATCATGTGATTTCGTATTTATACAGAGGAGCTTGCCTTGTGGGTCCTATTAATCATCATAAAATCTGCACATTGGAGACATTCATGGAAAGGTATTCCTGCTGAAGGCAGGGAAAAACCCAGGGCTTTCATAGGAAAGGGAGGAACTGAGCTCCAGAAGGCCTCTCTTCCTCAGAAATTGCCAGGAAATACCCATGCTCCTAGTCCATATGAGTGCAGTTAGATCAAAGTTTGCTCAACTGAAACTCTCTGGCCAGTTTCTTTTAATGTCGTCTGCTTGGAAAAGAAACAAGAGACAAAAAGAGAATTAGACAGCACGGTTTGAGAGGAACTCTGCTAAAAAACGAAATCGGGTTGTTTTCTTTGTTGCAGCCAAAGCTGTTTGCTGTGTATCACAAAGACCTGCTCCAGCCCCACCTCCTAGCTGTCAACACGAGCCCTCCAAAACAGCTGCACTAAATCCACACTCCCTGGTTTTTAACAGCTATGTGGGTGGCTGTCACATCCGCAAGGTTCGGTTGACGTTGAAATTCACCAAGTGTACCTGGTGCGAGAACAGAAACCGTGGCTTCTTAGTCACTTGTGGGAAGAGGGCGGGCGATGGGGGGGAGAGGGAAGTGAAGTCATTACTTTGCTGTCAGCTGCAAGGCGGTGACGGCGCTCCGTGCGCAGCGTGCGACACCAGGGTGGGGTGGGCAAGCTTTTCGTTAATGTGCATGGTAGCAGGAAAGGTTTCAAAGGACAAGTAATTGTTTTGTGCTGAGAGAGACAACAAGGGTTTTAAAACTGTCGTTAAGCCCACTGTGCCAGGGATCTCCCTTCTAATTAGAGCAACAAGCCCACTCCATCACTTTCACACACACACACGCGCACGCGCGCGCTTTCTCGGTCTCTCTGACCCCGGCACACGCAAGAAAAGGCCTGGCTGTCTCTCTCCTGGGGTTCGCCAGCCAGGTGAGCCGCCGGGGTGAAGCCTTCCAGCTCAGTCCACAAGCCCCAATGGACAGGTAAAGTTGTCCCCTACATGTCCAGGCACCGTTTCTTTTTGCAACTGCGAAAGGAGATTTCAGCCTGCCAGGGAAATTTGCGCAAAATCGAACAAGGAAAAGTTGAGCAGATCCAGGGAGAACCTTCAGCCTGGCAAGTGGCGAACGCTTTTGTTGGAAATGCGCTCACCGAAGAGGGCAGGTTCACGGGTTTGCTCGCGAGCAGGAAATTCTCACACATCCCGAGAGGGCAGCAACGTCCATATGCTAATCTATAGGATAGATGCAAAGTTAGGATGGAATAACTCATCCATCCTATTCCAAGCTGTGTTTGGAATAAGAAAAACACTCCTAAGTTCCCACTAGTGTGTGGCCAAGTGAGCGGTTTTAAAGAACAAGCGATGGGAAGTCCGTGGCTTGCATCCTATGGGGCCAGGTGGCCTATGTAACCGAGAGCCATCCTCTATCTAAAGCCAATAGATACAGCCATATTTCAAGGGCCACCCCACAAGATCTGTGTGAGAAGGGAAGCCATGAAGCCTTCATGCTGCGCATGATTTGTTTCAGTTTGCAAAGGATCAAAACAGGTCCAATTTGTGTCCCCGGACGGGACTTGGAAAGCATTTTTTAAATGGTAGCACAACTCTAAACTTGCAATCACTTTTGGAATGTTTGCGTGTGTTTTAAAGTCCACTTTGAAATGCATTTTTTAAACATGCTAGTACATAATTTCATGCTTGGACTGTGAGCTCAACCCTTTTCCAGTTCTCCCTTCTCTGCTTGGCATTTGTGCTGCATTTCTGTTTAACTCTTGTGTTTATTCCCAAACATTCATCCAACCCTGGAAATTAGCATATGGATAGATCATGCAAATTGATGCTCTCTTTTTACCCAGCTTTCTGGAGGTCTGTGGCTGATGCCCATGAAAAAGAACTGCTAGGTTAGACGCACCCAGGGTTCAAAATACAGAGTGCCAAGTTTCTATCCCTTTTGAGAACCACACGACGGAGGGGCTCGTATCACCCAGCTGTGAGTCCAACAGGCTCTTCTATGAAGAAGTTCTGCTTTTGTCCATCCTGAATCTCGCCCCTATCGGTTCCACCGAAGGGCCTCCAGAAGCACTCATATTTTAGGGTGAAGAGGGAAACATAAAACTGGAACCCCTCATTTCAAGCTTACACCTCACCTGCTCTGTGAATGGAGGTTAAGTCACTGCAGTGGCCATTTTCAGACTTCGGGGGCCAACGCTGCCTCTGCCAACTGCCAGCGTGCAGGTTCTGGCTCTGCACAAACGCATCCGAAGGCATTTGCACACATCCGCTCTCCAGAAAAGTGTGACTTGGCCCAGACGTGCAAATGCAACCTTCAACAGGCGTGCATTTTGCATTGTGTTTAATTTTGCCTTTTCTTCTCCGGCCCAAGTTGCACAGAATTGTGCGCGCGTGCACAAGCGTCAGGCTGTGAGCCCCACCGACTTTGTGCAGCTGGGAAAGCTAAGTCTGCCTCCAAATTCAGACACGCCTGACTCCGTCACGGATTTCTCCAACGTCGCTATCCCGTACCATGCCGAACATGGAAAAACACGGACACCAAGATGCACAGACACACAGACAGACACACGCTGGAGAGTGTCTAGGTTATATTTTGCGAAGGCATTGCCCTTTCCACACATGTGGGAATATTTTGCAGTGAGACTGCGGGAATCCTTGGATAACCTCAGTGGTCCTTTTCTCCAGCCAACCTACATTTGCAAAGAAAAATACCTAACTACTGTTCAGCAATCTTAGATAGAAACTCAATAATCACCCTTGGCAAGATACTACAATGCAAATCACATGTTTCTCTGCATTTGAGGTGGAATATGGAACTGCGAATATGCCACAGAACTGCCAAACTAGGAGTGCTTGCGTCCCTCGCGCGGCTATCTGCATGTGTTTCATCCTCCTGAAAATGGAAGATGGAAACACGGAGTTTGGAGGGACCAGAATTCATCTCTCCACCAGAGATCCCATGTGAGCTACTGATCCTGGGCACCTTAAAAGCGGAATGGTCTGATTTCGCCCCCTTTTTTGGCAAGAAGGACTAGCCCCACATGTCTGCATTTGCTACATTTGAAACGTTATCAGCTTTCTGGCCCCATGGAGGTTTCCCAGGAAAGCGCGAGAACGATGTCAGCAGTTACACAATTTTAAAACGAAACGAAACGAACACGGACGGACGAACAAGGAAGGCTTTTGTGACAAAAGGCCAAGAGCAAGAACTCCACCCTTGCACAACCGGCCTTCTCTGAGTGGCGGAGCGTTACGCAAAGGCCACGATCCTCTGCATAATGCCATCTGGAGACCCTGTAAGAGACGGGCCTCCCCCTCACACGACGTTTCCTGATTGCGGCCGGGCACCCATTTACCCTTCCGGGATCCCACGGCTGTGCCAACAGAGGGGCACGAGAATCATTCACAAGGAGCAGAAGATCCGAGGGTCTTCACTTCCCACTGCTCCTTGGGGTCAGGGTAAAACACACAGGGCCCGTCCACCTGAAGGAACCACGGGCTGTAAAAGCCCGACTCTGGCCCATCTCAGAATCCCACTTCCCCACGCACCGAAGGACCCCTCTTGCTCTGACGGCCCCTTCCTCTCTTCTAGCCCAAGGAAGACACGGGTGGGTAGGTCATACCCTTTGCACTGAGAAATCGTGGCTGAGGGCCTTTCCCGTCCAACCCCCTGCTGCTCCCGGGTCTGGCGTCCGCACAGCTGAACGCTCGAAGGAACCAGGGGGTACCTCTCTCTTGGGGGGCCCTTGGGTTTGGGTGGGGACCAAATCAGGTAGCTGGCGCCCCTTGGTACACACACCATACAACACCTCCTCTCAAACAAAGAGACTCCACTGGAGAAACAACCCACTGAGAAGGATAAAATCAACATTATTGTTCTTCTTATTTGCTTCCCGGGTTCCTGGCTCCCGGTTCTTCTGTCCTCCATGAGCTGCATCAGGCTTTCCGAATCAAGGCTATGGCAGAGGACCCAAGGAAGTGGCAACCATGAACAGGGTCTTGGTTAGGGCCCCCATTTGGGGTTAAAAGGGGGTTGATGTGGATCTCCCCAGATCCTGATGACAACACAGGTACCAGTCCTGTGATACCAACATGGCATCACTTCTCATTAGCTGCCCTGACTTCATTGGCTCCATGTCTGTCCTCTGTCCGAATTTTGTACCCCCAGGCTCACAGATACATTTGGGACAGGTTCAAGAGGTTCTGGGGCTCATGCCTGCCTTATTTCTTCTGCCCCCCGCCCCATCCCCACCTGCTCTCTCAAGTTGATTTTATCCTTCAGGTCGAAACCAAAACGCAGAGCAACTCCAAAGAAATCAGAGGTACACCAACCAAACCCCGCAAAATCCCACACCCCCCGTCCCCATCGAGACATTTGAAACAGAAGGCAACAAGAACCGAGATCTTTCTTTAAAAAGAAAGGAAAGGGAAAAGAAAAGCCAAAAACAGAGCTCACCATCAAAAGAGAAGAACGGGGGGGAAGGGGGAAAAACAGCCTCGGAACAAGCTGAAAGGAAGGACAAAATTGGGGGAAAAGGAGAAAGGGGGAAGGAAGAAAAGGTATTGCCACTCACTCTTCAGCTTAGTGTGTTTAGTGCTAGAACGGCAGCCGTAGATATGTAGGTACAAGCAAGCAGGAAGAGGGGTTGCTTTTTGCTTTGTGTGTGTTTTGAGGGGTTCTCAATGTTCGTGTGTGTGTGTGTGTGTGTGGTTTTTGTTTCCGTTTACTAACAATGTTTTATACAAGTTCAAAGAAGCGCTGTGAGCCAAGCTGATCTCACTCTTCCCCTCCTTTCTCCTCTCTCCTTCGGTGTCCATCGCCGATTCCGGTTCCCACCACGTTCCCAGTCTGTCCCGTCCACACTTTCCTGGGCGCGAGAGAAATTCCATAGACGTTTGGTTGGGTGGGTTCCGTTGTCGTTCAGTTGAGGCTGGGTTCCGATTCGCTGCTTCCTCCTCCTCCTCCTCCTCCCCCCCTGCTGCCATGCCCCACCCTCCCCTGCTTAGATGAAGTACTCTTTCTTGTCGTCCCCACTGGGTTGCCCTCCCTCGGCGTTGATAATGGCCGTGTCGGCATCAGGGGCGTCGTCTGAGCCTTTTGCCTCGTGGGTCAGGTAGGTGCCTGCGTGGGGACAAAAGTGGAAGGGAGCTACAGGGAGGATCATTAGAGAAAGGCTGCCAAACGCAGTTCAGGTCTCTGCTACGCTCGGCACCGAAGGCCTCGTGAGCACGGCTACAAAGCAGCGGGATCTGGCACTCCGTGAGCAACATGGAGACGATCAGGCGTTCTCCTTAGGAGCTCACAGGCCAGACACTTCTGGTCCATGGACTGGAAGGGGGCCGGACTCTTCTGGCCCATGGGCAGGAAGGGGGCCAGACACTTCTGGTCCATGGACTGGAAGAGGGCCGGACACTTCTGGCCCATGGGCAGGAAGGGGGCCGGACACTTCTGGTCCATGGACTGGAAGGGGGCCGGACACTTCTGGCCCATGGGCAGGAAGGGGGCCGGACACTTCTGGCCCATGGACTGGAAGGGGGCCGGACACTTCTGGCCCATGGACTGGAAGGGGGCCAGACTCTTCTGGCCCATGGGCAGGAAGGGGGCCGGACACTTCTGGCCCATGGACTGGAAGGGGGCCGGACTCTTCTGGCCCATGGGCAGGAAGGGGGCCGGACTCTTCTGGCCCATGGGCAGGAAGGGGGCCGGACTCTTCTGGCCCATGGACCAGAAGGGGGCCGGACTCTTCTGGCCCATGGGCAGGAAGGGGGCCGGACACTTCTGGCCCATGGACCGGAAGGGGGCCGGACTCTTCTGGCCCATGGGCAGGGTGGCAGTGGGTCCACAAGCCAAGACCTCTCCTCGCCACCACCACAGCCTGCTCATCTCCCCACCTCCTATTCTGGCCCAGGTGGTGATGAGAAGGTGCGGCAGAGGCTGACTTGTTCCCTGGCCTTCCGCCAGAAAGAGGCTGAGCAGCTGGTGGCCGTGAAGGTGGACTCAAGGAGGGGACAGATCTGAGGAGGGTTCCTTGCTCAGGTGGCCTGCAGAACCCCGGAGCTGGCACCGACCCTGTGGGCCAACGCTCCCCGTTGTACGAGGCAAGCATCACCCCGGATTTGGCGTCCATCCTGAGAAGGACCCCTGCTGTGCAGCAGAGCAGTGCTTGGCACACAACCCTGCTAGGCTGGCAGACCTGGTTGGCACCCAGCAGCTTCATCTGTGGCATCCCTTGAGATGAAACGGGAGCAGGCATGTGGGGGGAAGGCTGGGAAAGACCCCCCTCTGCTTAGGTGAGTCAAAACAGGTAAACCAGCGGTTGGAACCAATAGAAGGTGCTCCAAGAGCTGGAATGGTCCTTGGATTGTTAAAGAGGAAGGGCGGAGAGGTCCATTCCGTGCCCCAGCATCCTTGCCAGACTCTCACCCCCATTTGACTGCAGGGGATGGAGGTGTTCCAACGGGTCTGCTGTACTGAGTCCCAGTTCCATGCCTTCCCCCGCCCCATTCACACCCCCTCCTTTGCCCCATTATGTGATGAAACAACGAGAAGCGGACATTCTATCATGAAATGAAGAGGGCCTTATACTGGGAAATAACAAGAAGGGAAAGAAAGAAGAGGAGATATTGTAAAAATGAAGTCGCCCCTTATCAAACATTCCTCAGCCTAGGTTGGGAGGTGCTTGGAAGGGGGCAACACACTGATTTGCCTTGGCTGGTCAGCGGGTGCCAAACCTGACGTGGCGACATGGTGCGGCAATGGTTGCATGCCAGCCAGATGGTCCCTGATGGGTTGTGCCCGGCTGCCAGCAGGAACCCTGGTTGGCTGGCTGGCTGGCTGGCTTTGGTTTGAAATGGTGCCGAAGGCCAGAGTGGTGAGGGAAGAGCGACAGACCAATGGGAACTAACAGGCTTGTAACAAGTTCGATTGCAGCGATCTCTTAAAACCTCTCCTGTTCCACAAAATGCCACTCCCCATTAGTTTGTGCTGTTGCTCTGTTGCTTGGTCACATCAGCACGCTGGCATGCCGGCAAAGGGCAAATCCCAAAGGCTGATGGCGTATCGATCGATGCATCGGTTTGAAAGCGTGCGAACTGGCACGGGTGCGCTGAAATGGAACCAGACAAACGCCTTCCCCGATCCCAAGCGAAAGCAATGGAACCGCCTGCCCAGCAAGGACATGGGTTCTCCTGACGCTGCAGCCACGGTGCCCACTTGCCCAGAATCTACCTTTGTGCCGGATCAGGTAATGTCCCAGTATGATGAGCAGGATCAGCAGCAGGAAAACGATCACGGCGACGACTCCCCCGATGATGGCGTGGTACGGGTCTGTGCTGTGCGGTACTCGGCTGGCATCTGTCCAGAAGGGAAGAGGACGGAAAGTCAGCCGGAAAGGATCAGAACAAACCCACAGATTTTAAACTTGGGCTATGGGCTTCCCTTTCCCATCCTGACCTTTTCAGGCTCTGCAAAGTGGGAGAGAAATGGAAGAAAGGGCTGAGCTGAAAGCAGGTCTAGAAGTTGAGACAAAGGAGCATCTTCGGATCAAGTTTGGCTCAACTCTAATTGGACTTGCAGGTTGGTCTTACCTGGGGGCAGGTGGGACCTCTAATCTATCCACCTACCTACCTACCTACCTATCAACCAACCAACCAACCTATTCATTGCAAGCTTTGATAAGCTCTCGCAATAGCCACCTGGCTCTCTGGACAGTTTACAACCATTTTAAATGCAGTTAAACAAAAGACATCAACATCCATAAAACATTATGAAGCAATTTCAATAAATAAAACCATTAACTCCTCTGCTCAAGGAACACCAACCATGCTGGCCTCATACTGTGGCCAGATTGAACACATTTTATGTTTTTAGAATACTGTTTGCAATGTTAAAAATCATAAATTAAGATACTGAGTTAGAATTAAAACTGTCAGCAATTAAAATACACCAAAAATATTTTAAAAGTATTTGCCTGATACAAAATGCATACCTGGCACACATCTCTGGGGTGCCACAGCTGAAAAGACCCCGCAAGTATCTGCTTTCCCAGCATCTTTTAGAAGCCCCCCGAGTCCAAACCAGTGAGCAGAGAGGTTTTGTCCAGAAGGAGTGGAAGGTCCACTTTTGGTGGACGCCCTATTCCATGAGAGCCACTAAGGTGGGATCGTGCTTGGAAGAGAGTTTCCCGGGGAGTGTCAGGTCCTGACCCACGTCACTCCCTCGCTAGATCATTCAGCTCCAATTGACTCATCTAATTAATGGCCCACCCAGCTTAGTTCCGCTCCCAAGATTTCCCAAACCAACAACATGCTTCCCACGTCAAAGCGAGAGCTGCCAACCTCCATCGATACAGCAAATGGCTAAAAGAAGCAACTCTAATAAGCGCATATGAAATTTGGTCTCAGGGGAACTCCACAATGCCTATATAAAAACGGAGCAACATTTCTGAGCCATTGCAGTAACAATCAGCTTGCAAAGTATTGTTCTTAAAATGGTTCTCTTGAGGAATTCTTCCAGTGTTTGCTGCACAGTCTTTCTTTGGCTCGTTTGGATGAATTAATTAGCACTGAGCCTAACGTTTTCTCAACACACTTGCTGATGAAAATGAGGGTGGAGAGAACTGGAGGTGGGTGAAAGGGAGTGGATTCAACTGGCAAATCATTCATCAATCAATTTCTCCCCCTTGCAAAGTTTTGGGGGAAATGTAGCAATGGGTGCAACTTTCCTAGAAAACTTGGTCGGCCAGTTGCTTCTTCCACCCATCTCCAGCACACACGCACGCACGCACGCACGTGCGCACACACACACACACCCCTTCCTAAAAAGAGAAGCACATTCCCAGTTCTGGTACACGTCACAAAGGTGTCGATGATTACATGAAAACGGTGTGTAAACAGAAGTGTGCTTTTGCAAGACGGGCAGAAACATGCCTTGAGCAGTGAGCGAGAAAGAGCTGCGTGTCTGCTCTACAGAGTAGAATATGGAGCTTGCAGTCCTGTGGGATCGAAGGTGAAATTTGGAGAACTTGGGAGTTGGGGTTTTGCTTGCATTCCCAATTCTCTGCCATCCGATGGCTGGAGAAACAGGAAGGCCTTTTCGCGGGGCGGAAATACGACCATGTTAGTGTGAGGCAGCCTTCACTGAGGAAAATGCTCCATCACTGGGATCAGGAATGCAGCTCTTGGGGAATATCTGCTATTTCCCAAACCTGGGAAATAGCAGATATCGCAAAAGGGCGTGTGTGTTGTGCAAGGTGTCACAAATGTGTGTTCCTCACTCACCTCAAACCCTCATTGCCACACTTCAGCTTGTGGAGGGAAATGCATAGTTCCAGTTGGGGAAAAACGGCATTTAAATAAAATGCACATACTTTTCTTTTCAACTGGGGAAAAGTGCATTTTTTAGAGTACGCATTTTTCCGAAGGATGGAGGGACAGACAGAAGGCTGGAGGGATGGATGGATAGAGCTGCCAGGCTGCTGACGGGGACTGGGCGTTATGCTCACATGACTCCAGTTCTCCATCAGCTTCACTGGCTGCCCATTGAAGCCCGGGCCCAATTCAAGGTGTTGGTGATGACCTATAGAGCCCGAAACGGCTTGGGTCCTGGTTACCTGAAGGAGCGCTTACGTCCATATATGCCCGCCCGCCCCTTGAGATCTGCGGGAGAGGCCCTTCTCTGGGAACCCTCCGTGAAGGATATTAGGAGGGTGGGTACCCGGAGGAGGGCCTTCTCTGCAGTGGCGCCCCAGAGAGGTCCGCCTGGCGCCGTCTTTATTTGCTTTTCGGCGCCAGGCCAAGACCTTTTTATTCAAGCGTTATTTTAATTGTTGATATTATTTATTTATTTTATTCTTTGGCCAGGGTGACTTAAATTATACTGTTTTATATTGTGTTTATTTATTTATGATTGTGAGCCGCCCCGAGGCTTCGGCGAATGGGGCAGCATAGAAGTTCTCGAAATAAATAAATGGATGGAAGGAAGGAAGGAAGTTAGGAAGGGAGGGAGGATGGATGGATGGACAGAAGGAGGGAGGGAGGGAGGGGAAGGCAAGGAAGCAAGCTTGTGCTGAGACATGAAAATGAGGTGAAGGGATCGTTGCAGACAGCCAAGGACTCACAGCACCCCTGTTCGCTCCTCTTTCCTGTGGACACCGCTGGGCTCCCTCCACTTGAGGAGGGTCCAGGAACTTGGGAAGCTGACCCGGGACACGCAGAGAGTCCACAGCCCTGCCTGGCTTTCCGCCGTGGTGGAGAAGGGCAGGTTGGCAGCGAGAGCGGGAAGCCCAGCTGGGGAGGCCGCAGGGGGCTGGCGGCTTTCCTGGGCCCAGGACGCTGGCCTCACTAGAAGGGAGCACGGCCGTGGCACAGCTCCAGCGCTGCAGCAGAGCAGAGCAGAGCGCCCTCCGCATCTGGTCAGCAGCGGTCCAGAAGGGTTTGGGCCCGAAGGATGCCAGGACCGGTGCTTTTGGGTGCCACTCCCACCCAGCTGTTAGCCTCGGCCTTGGCAGGGGATGGAAATTGTCAGCATCTCTGCACGAATCATTACACTCGCGCTGTTTCTTCAGCCCTGGAAATGGGCCACAGCATCATGATTGCTTTGACCTCCAGAGGACGAAAGATCTCTAAATGAGACGAGACTACGGGCACCAACATGCTTTTAGCCTGCAGCTGTACTCCTTGTTGAAGCAGCTCTTGGGGGCACGCGGTCCCCCCCTCTTGGGGGCACACTGTTGGGAAGGAAGCAGGGTGGCCAAAATACGCCCCCAGCCCAAAAATACCAGCGGCTTTCAGCTTAATCTCTTGCTGCCAGGAACTAAGCCTTGGAGGGACAATCTGGGTTTTTCAAATGGTGAGAGAGATTATTATTAGTAGTAATACTAATAATAATTTCTGTACTTCCGCACAGCTGAAATTCTCAGGGCACTTTACAACAGTCCACAAAAACAGACAATAAAAATACGATTTCAATATTGTAAAATCTAACAAAAACAAAGAAAATAAAAGGGCTAAAGATAGACCATAGCAAAGAATGACTCTGCAAAAGCCCTGGTGATTCGTCTGAAGCCACTGGGTGGCCAAATAAATCTTTAAAGGCCTCAGAAAAGCAGGCTGCTGTCGTAACCTGGGGCTGAAATGATGGCAAATTCGCTTCCTGCCTACTGTGAAATCTCCAAATGATTACTGGCTGGGAGAAAGGCCCAGAGAAAACAGAGGGGATTTCCGTTGGGTTTGCCTGGAACAGAACCTGACGAAGGCGAACCATGGTGGTGAGCTAGGTGTGATTAGCCATTTGGATTTTGTGCACAAAAATTTTGTGTCTTTTTCCCAAGTGCAGGGTGGGCAGGCTCATTCAAACACGTCGTGCAAGCATCCATGTTTCCAAGAGCGAGATATTTAGATGAGCCAGAGCTTATTTGCCAGGCATCCACTATTTAAACTACTTTTACTACAAGCAGAAATGGAATAGAGAAAGAAACTTGGTGGGCGCTCACGCCTGGGACCAAAGCACATGTCCCTGTGGCACCAAAACGACCAGAGCTTCAAAACGCTCTTCCTTGTCCTTTTAGAGGGTTTATGCAAGTTATCAGATGGGTTTTGTTTGATGCCTTCCTTGCCAAAAAAATCTTCTCCTTTTAGTGTTTCCAGATGTGTGTGTGTGTGTGTGTGTTCACACAAAACTTTTGTACCTTGCCCCCATATCTGCAAGGACAAAAGGTGTTTTTCCAATGTTTTGATCCATAAATAAATACCGAGCATCAAAGCAGGTCTTAGCATCTGTGGAAATGTTCTGTGTGGGTCACGAATGCAACCTCGGGATGGATGAGGCCGGGAAACTCAAGTTTGGTGGACTTTTGCCACTTCGCCAACTCAATCACCAAAAGCAAGCGAATTTTTCTTCTTCTACAGCTTCCAATTCTAAAGCAGCTCAGACGGACTGTAATCTTCTATTTAAAAAGCCAGGGAAATGTGCACAGATTGCAGCTGGAATTTACGAAAATTGCTGCAGAAATTCACACAAATTGCAGTCTGATATGAACATTCCTTTCCGTTGAAACAATCTTTATTTAAGGCTCCGACTCGTCCCTCTTAAATAATCTACCTGCTTCCTGAAAGTTAACCCCCACTCAGCAAATGGATTTTCCATGCCCCTTCTGCCATTATTATTATCATTTTCATTTCTGTACCAACCCACAGCCGAAGCTCTGAGGGCAATTTGCAGCTAAAATATTACAACATCGGAAGGATAAATGTTCAGTTCCTCCAATGCAAGGATTAAGGACCACATGGATTCCAACTTCTGCATGGATTGTAAATAGATGCCATTTGGGATAATTGGGATAAGTGCAATTAAGGCACGCTTGCACTAAGGTCCTCCAGCCAGCAGAGGGTGCTGTGAAACGATACTTACCGTTAACGGCCAGGTTGTACCTCGCGACAGAAACGCCTATAATGTTGGAGGCATAGCAGATGTAGGTCCCGCTGTCACTTTTGTTCAAATTGGGGAAGAAAAGGATGCTGTCTTGAGCCTCCGACAACGCTGTCTCGGCACCCTCTTTCTCCCATTTGTATTCTTGTGGGCTGCATGCAAAAGAAGAGGAGTTTATTTTACATTCCGCTGCAAAATAAGTTTTTCTCCTTCCCAACATGAAATGAAAAGCAGCAGCCCTGTCAAAGGCGGCTTCCACAGTTGTCCTCCTCCCCGTTGCAATCAGAGGGTATCCCTGTGAAATAAGTAGGCTGAGAGCCACAAAGCCATCCAGGGAACTTCATGGCCAATCTCCAGCTCCCAGTCCTGCAGTCTAACCACTGCACCATACTGCCTGGGAGTGAAGAGTGCACAAAAGGCTTGGTTAGGTGGTGGAAGCCCCATCGGTGAGGGTGCTCAAAGGACAGGCTAGACATGCACATGGTGGGCATGTCATGAGTGGAGCCGGCTGGAGCCGGGGGTCAGACTAGATGGCCCGGGAGACCCCTTCAGCCTCACTCTCTTTCTTTGCTTCATAGAATAGTAGCTTGGAAGGGGCCATGAAGGCCCCTCATGAAGTGTACATGAGCTTACAAATAGGTAGATCCCACAATAGGGCATCAGCACCTTAAATTGGACCAGAAAATGAATAAGTAACCAACACCTCTGGTACAGTAGATGCTCCTCCAACCACTTAGCCCCACAGCCCTCCAAGCAATGGAATCAAGTTTGCAGGGCTGAGGCAGAATCGCATCCAGGTTGCACTCTTAAGCAAAACAGCCTAATTCCCACTTCTCTGTCAAACTGGAAGCCCGGAACAGCGTTATCCTTCAGTGACCCAGATGTCACCTGCAAACTGCACATAAAATACCGATTTGCATGGAGGGTGAACCTGGTACAAAAGTGCCTATCTGATGGGAAACGCATCCAAAAAGGCCTGTCTCGCGGGAAACGTGCAATCTAAATGCGGCCTTTTTGCATTTTTCCAATGGGACGGAGCGGGGGCTTACAGTGGGTTTCCATCCCCGTCGCAGTGAAGTTCCAGAGAAGCTCCTTCTTGCGGCTGGTCGGGTTTGGGTTCAATTTTAGCTGTCGGCTTGTCTGCAAAGAGAGTCGAAGAAGTCAGAGGGAGGGGAGGAAAGGAGTCTGGCAACCCCAGTGGTGAATGGCCCCCTCTTGAAGGTAGCCTTGGGGAATCTGTGAACCTTTGCAGAGGAAAAGGGGTGGTATATAAATGCAATAATTTATATTGCATAAATTAAGAGATAGATAAATAATGTGGAAGGGGGGAGGGGGGGAGAGGGAGGAAAGATATACATATAGCAAAATAATGACAATTTGCATTTTTAAGCATGCCTGTGCCCACTTGGCTGTCTCCAACTTTAAACTGGGGTTCCCTTGCCTTCCCCGGCCAAGCACGTCCTCACCACAGCCACGTACAAAAGACTGAGATCTTCTGCGACGCGGACTTGTCAGAGTTCTGCAAGGATTCGTGATCGACTGTGCAAGTGACTTCCACGCCGTTGTCCTCTTTGTCGACGGTGAATTCGACTCGGCTGCGGACGGTGAACGTCTTCCCGTTGGAATCCTCTGCTACCTCTAAAGGTTCGCCTGCGGAGGGAGCAGAGGCAATGTGTGTTTTGGGGCGATCGGAGTGCAGCACAGTAAGGAGGGGAAAGAGGAGGGTTTGCATCGCCCGATGTGCCCTCTAGTGCTCAGCATCGAATTATATATTTCCCGGGTTCATCCAGACTTGGACGCCTGGCAGCAATTTCTGACTCACCGCAGGCGATTACTTGTCCGCCCTTTCACTGATTGATAGAGGAGTTACGCCAATTATTTTCTAGGTTTTTCTGAAGATTCATGCTGATATCATGAGGAATTATCCACCTTACCTTCCTTCCCCTTAGCCACACTTTTTAAAAGAGGAGTCTGTAGGACCCAGAGGATGACTAAAATTTAGGGACATCGTGGAGGGAAATTTATGCTTCCGCCTTGCCAAGGTGGGAAGGAAGGTGGATCGCCCGCCACTCACCTGGCAGAGGACTGCCGCCCTTATGCCACCGGAGCTCAGCGGCTGGCTTGCTGCCCGAAGAGACACACGTCAGCTGTGCCACCTCGCCTTCTTTAAGAGGATCCGTGTAGCCAGAGATCTGGGGCTTCTGTGGGATTCCTACAAGGGGGGAAGAGGAAATCCGACACTGAGGACTAGCCACTTATTTTTTGAGAACCCACTGCTGCAGCGTAAGCGGAGGATTCTGCAGGTGGGGGTCAGCTTTGCTAAGCCGCACAGCAAATACTATAGCGGCTCGTGATTTCTCGCTGGGCTTCCTCTGGCTCTGAAGCCCAGGGCAGAGCGAGGAAGGGCGCTTTCCCACTCACACGGAGTGGTTTCCCTCCTCGCCGCTGTGTGTGAGCAGCACTGAGGGGGACACACACGCGCACGCAAGCTACCGCAACAGACACCTTTCGGTCAACTCAGGCAAGGCAGAGGTGGGCCTCAGGTGTGCCGTGGGTGGTCAGCCGGCATTCTGCCACGAGCGGAGCGAATGCCCACCCCTCCCGCACAGGGCGCCTCACCCAGCACGGTGACGATGGCCTTGGCGGTCCGCACCGGCATGGTGAATATGGAGCACGTGTATTCCCCCTCGTCGGTCAGGGTGGCGTTGTCGATGCTGATGGTCAGCTCATTGGGCGTGGATTTCTCCAGCTGGATGCGAAGATCTCTCAGTGCTGAGCGGGGAGGCAGCGCGGGAGAAAGGAAAGCGAGCAGACAATTTTTTTTCCAGGAGCTTTTCATGACAGTATTGGGGGACTTGAGGGAGGGATTGCCGATTTCAGCCTTTTCCCCCACAGCCTAACCGATTTCAAGCTTCTAGTCCTCATGGCCTAGGCCCTTGCACTACAGCTGGTTTTTCTCATGATTCTTTCTTTGGGGTTGCTATTATCGTTCTTTCCCCCTTGCTTTAAGCTTTTAGAGTATGTCTCACTGCTACATCCTGTATATGTTGATATCTCACCATTTTTTTGGCAAGGAAGCCGGAGTGGTATGCCTTCTTTTCCTCCTCTTCATTTTATCCTCACAACAACCTTATGAGGTAGGTCAGGCTGAGGCACCGATTGGCCCAAAGCCACCAAGTGTGCTTTAAGTTTGAGCCGGGATTGGACTTCAGATCTCCCAAGTTCCAGTCCACTGCTCTGACCACTGGGCAACCCTGTTTCCTTTCGCGAATACTTCCACCCTTCCACCCACCTGCTCTGTTCCTCGAAATTTCGTGGCTTGTGGCTTATCCCTCCATCTGTGCCAGCCTGCAACTGCTGGGCTCAGTCCAGGAAAACTGTGATCTACAATTTGATGGACTGGAGGCTGGCTTTCTTTGACGAGACCCATTGAAATCCATGGGGCTTGAGCGGCTTTGCACAAGTCCCATTCACGCCCATGGGTCTTCTTTACGTATGACTCAGCCTGGATCTCACCCAACAATCTCTCCGCCCAAGGTGAAGCAGCAAACTGGTGATCAAAAATGTGTTTTGATACATTGCAATTAAAATGGTGAGCTGTAACATTCCTGGGATTTACAGGATGAAAATCAATGGGCTTTTCCCACAGATTTATTGGATCAGGCAATTGATCAATACACGGTATATCAGCTTCAGCTAACATCTCTGCAATGCACTAGCTAAGTCCTCAGCAAACAGTTTCCTCAGCATCGGCGCATCCAGGGAAAACCTGCCCACTTGATCGGATATGAATGGATCTTGGCAAGACAATAAAAACCTAAGTTTGTGGATCAGCAACACTGGAGAGGCAATCTCTGCATAGTTCTTAAAGCAAGAAAGAAACGGAACGCGTTTCTTTGTTTTGAAACATTTGTTTGAATGTCATTTGTTTTTCAGCGCCAGGCTAAGACCTTTTTATTTAAACAATATTTTAATAACTTTTAATATCATCTGTAGGTTTTAATTTGCAGCCAGGGTGAATCTGGATTTTATTGGTATTATTTGTATTGTGTTTGTTTATTTTACGTAAGCCGTCCTGAGGGTATGCGATGGGACGGCATACAGCAATTCCAAATAAATAAATGAATGGGTTTCTTGCATCGTAGGTTTTTTAGGATTCCCGTCACTATCTGGAGTTGGGGGATTGTGGGCAATTTTTCTTTCATCTCACTGCTTAGCTGGACATCCAATTTCAGGCATTAACTGAGGAAAGGAGGAAGGAACACCAAGGTACTGTTACGGCATGCTCTGCCCCCCGCCCCCACTGCCTCGGGACACCCCAAAACACCCTCTGTGCCCACTGCTGTGACCTCCACTTTACAGCCCCCGCTTGGAGACTCCAAATTACTTTATGCCCATCTAGACACCTCCTACTCGCCTGGAGTTGTGCTGTGAAGGGTTTTCCAGTCTGTGCTGTTCTTTAGGGTAGCTTTAACCCTAAAGAACCCTAGTCAAGTTACTAGTTCACATGCAAAGCACTTAATCCCCCTTTCCCATCAATGCCTGGGTTACATGTGAAGCTTCCAGTCTGCAGAAGCTTCCCAGGCACCCACCCTCTCGTCTTTTGAACAAAAGCATTTTTATTCTTTTTTTTTTTTTGGTTTCGCTTCCTCTGGGTTTTGAAGACAGTTAATCTTTCACTGCTGAACTTTTAAACAAGTTTTATCCTTCCATTTGGAATTGGATTGCTGCTCCTATAGCTCTTTGGAGGTCTCCCTGTGTGTATATTTAAACATTTAGAATAATGTATTTTTTATTTGAATTTGTCAGCCAGCCCAGTAGGACAAAATGGCTTTGGAAGGGAGAAGAGAGAAATAGTTTAAACAAGAAACAGACAAACATATATATTGAAAAATGTTGCATTTGTGCCTTGGAGATGTGTCAGAAAGGACACGCATAAGGAGAGGAGGAGGAGGAGAAGAAGGAAGAACAGCTGTATTCTAGTGCTGGTCACTTGGAGACAATTCTGAGTCACCATAGGTGATCTGAAAGATCATAGACAATCTTGCCTTACAGATCATGTTCATGCCCCTCCAGGCGTTGAGGCCTCCAGTGAAAGCCTCAGTTTGTGTTTCATCATTTACCTGGCAAAATCCATTAGGGGGGAAAATAAAAGGACTTCACATCACAACTTTCCTTATTTATCAGGAACGTACCCCTCTTTGTCATGCCGCCTGTTTGAAGGGCTGTCAGGGGACACGTCTCTGTTTGAAGCAGGGATGCCTGGCTGACCTTAACTCCGCTCCATCTGTGTTTTGTGGGTTGTCAGGCATTTTTTGTTTCATTGTCTGCTCATTGATGGAATTGGCCTTTCTTTTTAGAGAGGCGTGACAATTTTGTTCCTCTTTGAAAATGTGTGCTTGTGCTAATGCGAGTGAGCGAGAAGATGTGCGGATTTGTGCGAGGGAACAGGAGAGCGTGTCCTTGTCCATTTCCCCTCGACACACACGCCAAAAATGAGAAAAAAAATCAAAATAAAAAACCAGTCTGCCAATCCACAGGACCGGCTCGATTCAGAAAGCATCGGCCTCTGAAAATCTGCAGGCTGGATTTGCAGAAATCTGAACCCAAACCTGCCACAAATTTCTCCAGGATCCATTTCAAAGGGAAAGAACCCAAAAAGGGGAGAGCCGAGATCACCTTGAAGCTGAACATCCAATATTAGCAACATGCAACAAACACGCAGAACCAGAAAAATGGCGAGCTCGTTTGTAGCCCTAGTCCCAAAACCCGGCTTTCTTTCCAAATGCAAATCTATGCATTCAAGGGACTTTTGCTCACTGCATTTGTGCTGCTAGATTTTGGGAGGGGGCGCTGTGTTTCCCCCACCCCCATATGTGACTTGGGAGAGTCTCATTTTTCTAAGCCGTGTCCTGGCTAAATACCCACCTAATTTTTGCCCTTGGGAAACAGAAACCCCGTGGTTCGCAAGAGTTTTAGCGAGCGTGGTGCCGATTTGCAGATCAGAGGAGTATGTTTGGAGGGCGGGAGGGGGGGGGGGCCTTTGGGCCTTGATGTGTTCCCAGTGATGTCAGCGAGTCCAAATTCAAAATCAGGCTCTGGGGAAAACAACATGCTCCTGTCTGATTAAAAAAGATAAAGGACTCTGGTCTGCAGAACCTAATTTCAGCAGGAACCCGGGGAGAATTCGCCGGCGACTCACTGGGCTTACAATCGATTGCTTTGGAGGGTTTCGGATGGGGCTTCTTTTATGGCGGGAGAGATTTTAGTGGGGAAAGGGTTGAGAAACAGCATGACTAGGATGAATCCATTTGGGGCCCAGCTCCCTCCCAGCTCCAGGCACTGTGGGCCTCAGGGTTCTACCTCGCTTCTCTCCGAAGTACAGCGTCTGTTGGGCAGGATTGGACCACTGGAGGGAGGAGTTATCAGGATCTTCCACCTCGCAGCGGAGGACCACCTTGGAGCCTGCTACCACGACTTCGTCTGATGTCATAGGCTGACTCCCTGTAAGAGGCCAAAAGAGAGGCAATCAGTGCTACTAGTCCTCATGGTGATATGTTCTCCCAGGGACAGAGGCAGTATGCTCATGCGCTCTTAAAACACACCTTCTCCAGCTTTCTGCTGTTAAGAATTTTACGCGAAGATAGGCTTAAATTTGGGTAATTTTATCCTTGCCCCATTTGGCCTTCAGCTCCACTCAGCACTGGAATGCACCCCAAAATTTCTCCAAAATAAAATTTGGCCCTGAGATTGGAAGAGGTTCCAGTACTGCCCAGAAGAAGTTCTGGGGGAGGGGAGGAAAAAGGGAGGCCAATTTTCACGGTGGGGATTTGATGGGGGGGCAGATCAAGCCCACCTCTCACTCACTGCTCCTTTTGGTGGCCAGTAGCCATTTTAAAATAGCAACAAGACCAAAAGCGATAGCGAAGGGACCCCACGTGACAGAAATGCTTCTCTGGTCTTCACGTGCACCATCTCTGAGCGCCACGGCACCCTGCAAAAGGGACCTCCTCGTATCCTCCCCAAATTCCCCCAAATGGTATGGCTTCACACCAACCTCTCCCACCCCAAAATGGGGCAGTGAACATGGATGGCCCGGAAGGGGTGGCATTAGCTGAGGCTGCATGTTGAAAGCACACATTCCGCGCTCGGGAAATTCTGCCTGTTGCAGAAATCACGCGAATCGCCCACGCGGGTTTGTTCGCACTGCATCTGGGCTTCTGCTCCCCCAAAAGTCCCACCCCACAGCCAGGCGTGACGGTTCCAGCCAATCCAGGAAGAAGGAAGAGCAGCGGCTTGGCTTGCTTTGGGGCTCCGGGGCTAGTTGCCAAGATCAGGGGTCCTCGAGCCAGGATGCTACAGACCGGAGCACTGAGCGCATCAGGCTCGCAAGAGGAGTCTCCGGAGTCCATTGCACAAATAACTCAGTTGCAGAAAGCACCAGCTTCCGGCTTAATCCTTGACTAGAACACGCCCCCGCCAGCTGCCTGTCCCCCAATCTGAGCCAGCTAAAGCCGACAAGACCTCTTTAAAAGAAAAGCCCTTAATGAGTGCGCAGGTGGGACCGTTGAAGCCAAACCCCTACTTAAGGCTCGGTTGTAATCCGCTCCTTGTTGGAGTGACACGCAGGCAGGGGGTAGCCGGCTTCCCCTGCTCGGAGCTCTCTGTGGCGCTGTCTCTGCCCCATTCCTGGGAAACACCTTTTCCCCAAGCCCTTGGAAGGACCCGCTCCACAGGGGGCCACCGGGGCCCCGTGACGCTCAGCCTCACAGGCAAAGCAGAGCTTGGGATATTTTATTCGAGGGAAATGCAGGCGTAGCTTTTCACTGAATGCACGTGTTCAAACTGCGTAACCCACACGCGGGTGGCGGAGGGGCTGAGGTGAATTGATGCCATAAACCACCGTGCATCATTTCACATCCTGATACACGTGAGCTCTTTCTCCAGGAACATCCCATTCGAACACCTGCCATGCTTGCGAGAATTCTCTAGAGCTTAGAGAAATCATCAAAGATCTCCAAATCCCACCCCAAACCTGTTCAGACTCAAACCTGCATCAGATTCCAAACTTTGTTTTCTTTTTCTTCTCCCATGGAGATCGGGGCATATTTCCATGCTTCTTTTTTCCAAACGATGCCACCATCGTGTGGCCTTTGGAAAGAACGCCCCAGTCTCCTATCAAATGCATCATGTGCATCGTTCAAAAGTGTGCATCTTTCATGGGCATTTCTCACACGTGTGGAAAGTGATCTGGGATTTTTCTTGCAGTCATTTTCCTGGTCTGCGGGAGCATCAGAAGCAGCCTTCGACCAAGTCATGTCACTGGGCCATCTACCCCAGCATTGCCAACACTGACTGGCAGCAGCCGAGGCTCTGCAAGATTTCAGAATTCCGGACCCACATGGAGAAAATGGGAATCTGAGCCAGGCACTGTTTCCACGCACAGCATGTGCTCGTTCCCTGAGCCACGGCTTTTCAGCTGCTTTGCACCACAGCAAAGCCATACAAGCTCGACATGCACCACAGGCCAGAGAAGCAAACCAAAAGGCTGGAGCCCGACAGGCCCCGCCCCTCTCTGGGCCTGGCCCCGCCCCTTCTGCCACCCAGCGGACTCTCTCAACTCCAAAAGCGCCACCTTGTCTGTCCAGCTCATGAGATTTCATTAGCTGCAGCTTGCCCAGCACTCACAAGCGCCTCTCCGATGGTCTGAAGGACTAGAAACATTACTTGACTTTGACCTCCAGGACCAGGCTGCGAAGCCCGGTATACAGATAGCCTTCCTCTGTTCCTGGCCCTCATGACCCCAGCAAGGAAGCGCTGTCCCACGGCAGGATTTGAAACACACACACACACACACACACACACACAGGGTTCTACTGGAACTTTGCTCAGCGCCAGCAAAACGCTCTACATCTGTTTTCATCGCTGATCTCTGCCGTGGGTTCTCCCCAGGTCTCAGAACATGGCCCTCTGTTGTTTCCCCGCTGCGTGCACATCTCTGCCAAGCACATTCCAGCGTTCCTGTGAGCTGTAAAAGCAGCCCTGGGCCCACATTTCGCCCCTCCTCTGCTCTGCCCGCCCCGGGTGACCGTTGCAAAAAGCTGCAGCTCGGCGCCTAAGCCCTGGTGGTAACGCCACACACACACGCGCGCAAACGCACACGCACGAAAACACATGCCCTGTCAAACAAGCACCCTCTTGTCTCCGACGCGTCCCCCCACACCACAAAGCATGTGTGATGGCAGAGATTCAGCACCCGGAGCTGCACAATCTGCTGCACATCACACCCCGTCGCCTCTCATATGATGCGGCGAAGCAGCTAAGGAATGTGCCGGCGTGGGTGCTCCAAGGCTTCCTTCCTAGCCCTTCGCTCGCAAGGGAAAGCAAAGGCCGGGCCAACCGCCGGTCTCCGGAAAGGTCACAAGCAGAACGTGAGGACTAGAAGCTTGGCTCGCCCGTCCTCCCCAGGTTCTGCTTCGACTGGCCCGAGCATGGAGGCTCTGTTCTGAGTTTGCCCATGTGAGCTAAGCCGGCACCTGACAAGATCAGACGTCCCATTAAACCTCTCACAAGCATGACATCAACACCACTTTGCAAAGGGTAGGAGAAGCAGAGAAGTTCCAGCTTGATACTATTAATTCAAACGTCGCTTGTATGTTTGCTTTGACGCACTTCCATTTTGACTTGCAATCTGTTAACATGCGACAGGTTAACATTCTTGAGTGCATTTTTCCAAGGGCTGAGTTCCCCTTCCTTGGCAAAATCATGAGAATGTGTTTGTTTGTTTTTTCGGTGTGTGTTAGAAAGTATACATTTAAATGTGCACCTTTCCTGCAGATTTTATGTGAAATCAACACATGGTTTTTGAATGCAACGGCAAATTCTAGAAGAGCAAAGCTCTGAGGGTACCTGAACTCCTGATCATATTCAGCCTTCCAAGCTTGGATGATTTGCAATTTAAACTAAAATTCTTGCTCCTTTCTGCTCCCCACTCAAACGGTGGATATCAGTTGCACCCATGTGCTGGGGTGAAACCAGCAGATCTTAGACTTGGACGTGGCTCTAAATAATAAGGATAATCTCGCAGGATAATCTAAATCCCCTTTGAGGGGAACCATCTTGAAATGTTATCTGTGCACGTTTCTAACGTTGGCATTCATTGCTTTCCAGCTCCCTCCTGGCAGTCTCAAAGTTTAAGCCTTCGTGGGACGTGCAGATGCTTCGCGTCTCTGGTGCAAATCCGCTCAAACGTGTGCCAGCGTCAAGGCTCCATGTGGTCTTGAGTGGGCCACTGCACACGGGCAAAGTGCTTTTGCTCAGCACCTGGAAAGCCTCAGTCACAACCAGACTGAACCAGGAAAGAACCAGGAAAGGAGCCGGCTGGAGCCGGGGGTCAGACTAGATGGCCCCGGAGGACCCTTCTGACTCACTCTGTTTCTATGTTTCAAATCCTAGTGGAGGTGTGCAGCAACAAAACTTGGGTTCTCCAGATCCCACCTCAAACCTTATTCTGACTCAGATCCACATCACATTGCAAATTCCTTGCTGCTTGAAACTGTTTGACCATTTTCAGGCATGTTTTTCTGAACATCCACTGCACGCACCCCTTGGAATACATGCGTTCCCCTCCGGTTGATTAAGGCACATTTTTCCAACGTGCCAGGAAAATGTCCTGTTCAAATATAAGCTCGCTGTCAAATGCTTTTCTCTCTGTGATTTCTCTTACATTGCCAGCTCAGAAACGTACAGGCCTTGATGGAAGACTAGAGCCAAGTTTATGTTGGGAAAGGCAGGTGGCTTAGAATATTGCAATTTGTTGAAGGAGAAGGAGAAGGAGAAGGAGAAGGAGAAGGAGAAGGAGAAGGAGAAGGAAGGAGAGAGAGAGAGAGAGAGAGAGAGAGAGAGAGAGATCAACTTTTGTTGTTGTTTTGAAATCAAAGTGGGCCAAACTAGTGGACAAGTTCTATCAGAATTCACAAAACTCTCCCACATCTTGAAATATCTTGTAATATCTTACATCTTGTAAGCCGCCCCGAGGCTTTGGCGAATGGGGCGGCATAAAAATGTTTTAATAAATAAATAAATAATAAAATAATTCTTTTTGCGGGGGGCTGTGTCATCTGGCCTGATTCTACCGCCCATCGCCCCAAAAGCCTCGCCCCACTGCCAATGTGCAGCAGAGGGTGGTGTTTGGAGCATGTCCGAGGGGGCACCGTGCGCCTGGTCCCACACAGAGTTCCCGAATGACAGGACAGACCCTTGCCAAAAGTCCATGCACCAAATTTCCGGGCTCGTTAATCCTTCTCTGCATATTTTGGTGATGTTTCGCCTGCCATACGCTTCTTTTGCTGAGCTTCTTGTCTGAATACAACACACTGTGGTCTCCCCTTTCCATTACTCCGCACATGCTTTCCTGCACACTTTCTCCTAATACACATGCCTCTACTTGCCCGCCTTTTAAAAATGAAATGAAATGAAATGTAATGTGGACAACTTCAATGCAA